AACATTAAGTTGTGAATATTTCTTTGTCTTCCTTTGAAATAATAGCTTTTTCTCAATATATAATTTAGAATTATTTTAAAAAATGCTATTTATAAGTTGACATTGCAACTTCCTTCCTTCCATATAGAAATACTTTGAGGTGAAGTTGAGATTTTAACTTGTGAGCATTATTGCCCAGGTTTTATCAGTAATACTATTGAATAACTACATATGCAGTTGCAGTAAAAGGTAAAGGCCCTCCCGTTGATCGTCGATTTGCTCGAGCGGGCCCAGTAACGTCTCCATTGGAGACTTTGTTGTTACTGTGTCTGGCATATCGAATACTCTCGGTAGCTTGCCGGGCTCTCCGAGAGGGGCGGAGGAATCGAACTCGGGTCAGCCATGTTGGCCGCTTGTAAGGCAAACGCCCTACGCGCTGTGCTATCGCTCCAGCCCACAGTAATAAGGTATTTTATTCTCTGAAGTAATTTGATGAAATTTTCAACCATCAATATAAGATAAATAGATTATGTACCAATTATAAATAGTGCTATCACAAAGTAGGCTTTCAGACCCTCACAAGTATATATTGTTGCATCAGTTCCTATATAAAAGACTGGCCGCATGTTATTAAGTAACTTGTAAGAGTCTATTTTTGTCAGTTGTATTTGTCTTGCTAGTGATAAGAGAGGAGAAATTGGTCACACTCTGTTTTTTTAAATTCTTGTTTTGCAAGTATTCAGCACTCAATGTCAGAGACTTGCAAGCAATGAAGGTAATGAGTTCAAACCCTAACTTCACAGATACCATAAAGTTTTAAATGATAATTTTATTTTATTTTTTTGCTTTTTTGGGTCACACCCAGTGAGGCTCAGGGATTACTCCTGACTCTGCACTCAGGAATTACTCCTGGCGGTGCTCAGGGGACCATATGGGATGCTGACATTCGAACCCCGGTCAGCTGTGTGCAAGGCAAACGCCCTATTCGCTGTGCTATCGCTCCAGCCTCCTAAATGATCATTTTAAGGGCATTGAATAATAGTAAGTTTATTTATCTTCAGTTTTAAGCAGAGATATTTTGTTAAAACTTGATTTTCCTTTTAAAAATATCATTTTTTCTTCTAATACAGAGAAAGTAGAATGAAGTGTTGAGAAGGCTAAAGGATTATTTAGCCAGGATTAAGCCTTAAGTTACAAGGAATTCTAGACTGATATCTTCTAATTACCATTTTATTGGCCAATAATTACATTAGCATATATAAAAAATCTTAAAACCATGACTGACATGGTTACAAAATAAAACTAAGAAATCTCCCAGACAAAGAGTGAGAGAGGGAGTGATTCCAAATTACACAATTTATGTATGATAGGGACTAGTTTAGTCTATGATTTAGGTCTGGGGTGATTTACCTTACTTTGCTTTCAGAAACTGAAGAGATTTTTCAGTGCATTCAAAATGATTGAGTTGAGTCATATTCATTTTTATATCCTCATTAAAGGCTTTAGTAATTGGATCTTAGAATTTTAGGTTTCTATTTTATTATTGGAAACTTTTTTTTAAGGTAAGATACTTTATACAGTAAGTTATAGCTTTAAAAACATCTTCAGTTGCCTATTTGCAGGAGCTAGATGTGGGTAAAAGGGCAGCATATTGTTAGCTTATGAACTGAGAGTCAAAATGCACAGGTTAGTAGATGACAACTGGATTACCCAAATAGACTGAAAAACCATTAAGATGAATCTCTAAATACTATCTCACCAATGAAAAATTGTCTCTGATGTCAGAAGAAAAAAAATAACCCCAATATTTGTTTGTACATAGTTTTTTAATAGGCTAACATTTTCTTACTTTTAATCCAACAATAATTCGCATAAGAAATATTCCTTAAAGGCAATCTTGTTACAAAATTTTAGCTTACCAAATATTTTTTGCATACCCTAGCATATTAATCTCTAAAATTTCAATCTTAAAGATAACATCATATCAACTCCAAATTTTGTAGATCGTAACAAAATTTTAGTCAATCACTCTGTAATTATAGCCTATATATTTTGGATAAGTTACCTAACTTCCTTGTACCTGTTTCCTTTATCTGAAAATTAGAGGTGATCATAGTACCTACTCTCAGGCTTAGTCAACATACACAAAACAGCAAGTACTTTTTTGAGGTATTTAAAATATAAGTAACCAATTCTACTTATTATTTTGTTATAATATTCTTATTCTTAAAATTTTTCAATATAATTTAATACTAAGATCAAACTTACATGAAGAAAGACCATATATTTTTAAATATAATTTTATTTGAAAGTGCTTCTAACTATAGAGATAAAATATATATTCCTTCTGTTTCTTTATAAAACAAATCATAGCATTTGTTTAAATCACAGCTTTAGATTTGTAAAATTACCTCCAATGCTATTTGAACTTCTATTACATATTATTTTAAAACTTTGTACATACTCTTACAATATGTTGCACTTTTGTGTCCTGCAGAATTTTTTTAAATGATTGCTTACTGGCTAATTGCTCTTTCATTTATAACAGGACTTGAAGATAGAATGGGTCTCTTTGGTTCTCTGGTCTGGATATGAAAGTCCTAGACCACCAAGTAGGAGGAGGATGTTTACATATATTCTGTATGTTCTTTATTCTTAATCCCTGTACTTATTATTATACTTATTATTCAGTGGAAGATTTTTTTATTATTTGATAGTTACCAGAAAAGTCATCAAACTTGCTCAGAATTTTTTTTCTGAGGAAAAGGAACAGTTAGTGCCTAGAATAAAATCAGGGTCATTTCCCATGTTTGATTCTTGATCCCAAATATGATCCTTGAGACCCTCAGGAATAATTCCTGAACATGGAGCCAGGATTAAGCCTTAAGCAACACCATGTGTAGCAAAAAAAAAACACAACTAAATAAGTATATAATAAAATTAAATACATTAGAATTTACATGCACAGTTTAATAATATCCTTAATAATCCTTATATTTTTGTGTATTAATATAAATAAAAGTCCCATGAGACGAGTTGGTGCAAATACATATATATTGTAATTATACATTATATATAAATGTTTATATTATGCTGTGATTATGAACAGTGATTTGAAACCATAATATTGAGTGTATATATATGTTATAATTAGAGTTAAATTCTTAGAAGGGGAATACCCTTAAATACTGATTAAAATATCAGATTAACTACTGATAAATTACTTTTTTTTTCTTTTTAGGTCACACCTGGCGATGCACAGGGTTTACTCCTGACTCTGCACTCAGGAATTATTCCTGGTGGGGCTCAGGGGACCAAATGGGATGCTGGGAATTGAACCCGGGTCGGCTGCGAGCAAGGCAAACACCCTACCCACTGTGCTATTGCTCCAGCCCCTGATAAATTACTTTTCAAATGGGGTTAAATGCTTCCTTCTACTACCGCTGTCTTTACATGAATGTTTCAGATATAAATAAGATTTTAAGAACCCTGATTTCAAAATGCTTTAAACATGCTTATGGATGTATAGATTATAAAAAGGAAGAAGAAACTTAATTTACTAGAGTACTTGTAAAACATACCAATATTTTAAGTATATCTTAGTTTTACAGACCAAATGTTAAAGAATTTTAGAATTTTCTCAGTGATTTATTATATGACACCATTTAAAAGCATCCTTTTAGAGACTGGAGAGATTCCTGATAGCCAACCCCAGTTCGATCACTGGTACCTCATGCCTCCTCCAAGCACTGCTAGGTACAGACCTGGAGGCCTCCTAGGGCCTCTGGGGTGGCCTGGATACCACAGTACCAGAGGCCTAGCTGCACTGCACCCTTAAGGTCTTACATTGAGCTATAGGTTCAATTGGCCAGATCTAACTAGTAATGTTCCCAACGTCTCCAAGCACTACTTAGGAGACCCCCAAAATAAAAATCTTAAAGTATCATTTTATGTGGTAGAAGCAGTATAAATTTAGAGAGGTTTGTCTTTGGATTTGCTCGAGCGGGCCCAGTAACGTCTCCATTGGAGACTTTGTTGTTACTGTGTTTGGTATATCAAATACTCTCGGTAGCTTGCCGGGCTCTCCGAGAGGGGCGGAGGAATCGAACCCGGGTCGGCCATGTTGGCCGCTTGTAAGGCGAACGCCCTACCGCTGTGCTACCACTCCAGCCCCTGCTCAGGGATTACTCCTGACTCTGTGCTCAGGAACCACTACCTGACAGTGCTTGAGGAACAACAGAGGACACCAACAACCTGAAAAGGAAACATGTAATAAAAAGATACTGCTATATATTTTGTTGTCTATATTGGCATTTGTGCTCATAATAACAAATAGATAAGTTGGAAAATTATGTACATGAAAGGAAATAGTTTGAAATTAAAGAACTTTATTTTACTCTAAAAATAGCAACATTATTTCTTCAAATGAGAAATTAATTTTTATCTTTAATACTAGATTTTTAATACCTAACACTGAATTCCTAATACTGCCAAGTCTCTAAAAGAGGTTATCATAAAGACAAAAATATACAATAAAATCGTTCTACACATGAAGATATTAGGATTAGTTTTATTCTTTTAAAAAATGCTGAATAGTGGGAGAAATGACTAATATTTGGAATCAGCTGTGTATATCCCACTGGTAACCAGAACTAGCTCTTACGTGGTTCTATGCTGATTCTTGAAGCATTGGCTTGCTTGTAGTTCACAGATCACGTTAGGTGGGAAATTTCAGATGTTTTGGCCTATTCTAAAATGCTTTTTTAAGTCTGAGTGAATTGCTGTGATTATGTTCAGTGATTTAAATGATAAGGTTGAGTTGGTAGTCCCACAGTGGAAAAAAATATCACCTCTAGGGCCACCCACAAAATTGAATGGTGTAACTTTCTACCTCCCGCAAGAAACATCCGTCTCAAGAGTTAAGTGGTTGCCATTCGCTTTTTACATCTTGGACCATGAATATTCCCCGTGCTCTGTGAAAAGCATGGTGGGTTTCTGCAGATGTCACAAGAAGATCCTACCTGGACCAAGCTATATCCTGTGCGCTGAATCAGTGCGCGGAGGGCTGCTTCGTTCTGGGTGCCGCTCAATCCATCCCCGGATTTGTGATTTGATTCCATTGAGAGTGATTATCAGCAAAAAATCAGGTTAATTAGGGTTGCTCACTGAAATCAAATTTAAGATAAATTAGGTAAATTACTGTTGCCAAGTCCAAACTTGTCCTTTTCATAAAGGATATCTTTAGGAAACATTCTCTGTAAAAGCATCATTAAAGTGAAAGTAACTAGCAACAAATTAGGATTGCTCATGTTCTTAGTAGGAAAACAAAGTCTATTGTTTTAAAAATTCAGTTTCAGTTGAAATTTGGAAATCAAAGATGAATAATTGTTCCATTCAGTTAGAATATAGATTTGTAATTCTCCAACCAATTATCTCAGATGTCACCAAATATGCAAAAAAAACCCCAGTTCTTTCATAAGAATGTGCAGAATGGTGCTTATAGATGTATGAAGAGGGCATTGTTACTAAATTAAACCAACAAAGATAAAATAACAAAATCCCAAATTAACTTCATTAATCTAATCTATGTATTATCAAAGACATTTATCTACTCATTTTCCCAGAAATAAATTTCCAGAACTCTCTCAGTTATATAGAAATCACTGTGCAAATTTGATGATAAAAATGTCACATGAATTTTGACAAAACAGAACAACAGATCTTTGATTCTGTGCCACAGTCAGTTGTACTAGGGCTTCCTTGGCGGATCACTCCCAGTGGAACTTGGGGGAATCTTACGTGGGGTTGCGGATCACACAGGTCAGCTGCAATCAAGGCAACCACCTTACCCACTGCACTATAGCTACAGCTCAGCAATGGATCTTTCTGAGAGAGCCTACTAACACTGAACCTCATACCATACACATGATTCTTCAGAGAACATGAAATCCTTTCAGAAGAGCTAAGAAATAGTGAACGTTTATAATGTCCATGTTAAATATGAATTTATAAAAGAATATGAGTTTTAATGTTTTGTTGTCTTTAGTTTCTACTTGAGAACATTAGTTAAAATCAGCATTCCAAATGTCATGGTTGCTCATATCTCATGACCAGGGCAGTATAATGTGGAATGTTCCAGGCTAGGATAGTGTGATTCTGGCTAGACTCTCAGGTAATAGGGACATAACTGACCGATTGGATGTGTGTGTGTAAGTGGCTCAAGGAAGGTTCTGTGCTTCTCACTCTGTTCAACTGCATTGTGCCAACCAAGAGAGAGCAAACATATCTTATAATGGTTTGAATGATGTGCAATTTAACACAGTTTGCTATTGGCCCTTTAAAAGGTTTTCTGTCCTATGCATTGAGATTTTTTGGTACTGGTTTTGTTTGTAATTTGAAGATTCAGAATGAGTGAAACACTAATAATATAGGAAACTAGGCCAAATATTGGGTGATCCAAAACAGAAGGAAACTGAGACGATCATTTCAGTACAATGAAACTTAGAAGTGCTGTTATTTAAATGATAGAATAAAGAACCCAAATTACCATGCAAGAATTATGTAGAAATAATATTCTCAATATGATACATATAGCCAAAGGGTAAAATAGGAAATGTCTGAGAGAGAACATATGAGCACCGTTTAGGGGCAGAAAAATGTCATGCCATGTTTATAAGCAGTCTTACTCTTTCTAATAATTTTTGTTTGCTTTCTCACCCAGGTCAATTCAGTTTACCTCATTAAATTCTTCAAGAAAATTAATGAGGTAAACTGAATTGACTTGGGTGTTATTTAGTTATGTCTGTATGTCGCTTCCAGCCCTGCAAAGTGTTTGGTCATGCCAGCCGCCAACGGCGGGCCCCTGGGCAGGGGCCCCTTCAGCAGCCCCAGCCACTTCTGCAGGGAGCGCTGGTCCATGTAATGGCAGCCCGCCCCCCAGGAGGTCTGTGGACTAACATCTGGACTGGCTGGGGGCGTGGTCATTAATGTAGGGGCGTAGTCTCCATTGAAAGTGGGTGTGACCTTCTGCGGGATGGGCAGCCACAGTTATATTTCCCACCCCCAGCACTCTGGACCCTCACCCCAGTCCTTGCCATCTAATTCTGTGAGAAAAAATTCCAGCCACCTACAGTACAATACAATAATAATCCACTGGCCTACTCCAATTCTAACAAAAGACCAATATGCAATAGAAGCTGTATAAACCCAATACTAAAAGAACACCTCCTACAAACCTTCACTAGATGTCCGTCATAAGCCAGAGAAAAAAGTGCCAGAAAAGATGCTCAGACCCTAGAAAGAGAGAAGGCTGTCCACCATCGACTGGCCTTATCCAGAATTCTTTCCCACAATAAGAGTGAGCAGTGCTAGTGAATGAATTCCAGGGTTTTACCACTAGACGAACAAAACAACATGAAGAAACAACGCAAATCTCCACTACAAGGTGAAGATGAAGAAAAGATTCCCGAACCCTCAACCGGGGTCACCTACAAATATGCTCTCTCCAATAAAGAACTCCGGGACAAAATGCAGAGGATGTTCAAGGACCTACTCAAAGAATCAATGGAAGAGATATCCAGAAAACTAAAGAAAACTAAAAGAAGAAATGAAAGAAACAATAGAAAGTTTAATCGAGAAAATGCAGGAAGAAATGAGAGCAGAAACAAAAAAGGTACAGAAATAAGTGTCACAGATAAAGGACTCAGTAGATGGAATTAAAAACTCAGTAAGTGCCCTTAGCAATAGGATAAGTGCAGCTGAAGAGAGCATCAATGAGCTTGAAGATGAGCAACAGAAATCCCATAGGGAAAAACGAGCAATGGCAAAAGATCTCAAAATGGCTCTTAGGAGAATCAGAGACCTAGGGGATACACCAAGAGGAACAGCATTAGAATCATTGGAGTACCAGAAGGGCAGGGAGGCAACCCCAATGAAAAAGCCACAGTCAAAGAAATCATTGCTGAAAAGTTCCCAGAGTTAAAGAATGCAGACATACAGATCCAAGGAGCCATAAGGGTGCCAGCAAAAAGAGACCCTAATAAAAACACTCCAAGGCATATCATACTCAGAACGATGGATGCCGTGGGCAGAGACACAATACTACAAGCAGCAAGGTCAAAGAAGGAAATCACGTTCAAAGGAGCACCCCTTAGATTTACAGTAGACCTATCAGAGGAAACCCTCCAAGCCCGAAGGCAATGGTGGGATATAGTGAAAAACTCAATGAAATGAAGGCCTCACCAAGAATACTTTATCCAAGTAAACTTTCACTCAAACTCGATGGAACTATACACCATTTTATAGATAAACAACAGCTCAGGAACTTCATATACTTAAAACCAAAACTAAAAGAAGGGTTAAAGGGGCTCCTATAGGATAAGAAGGAAAACACTTAGAAACACAACCAACCCCTACAGAAACATGCCACAAAATCTCATGACAATAATCTCTCTTAATGTCAATGGCCTAAATGCACCAATCAAGAGACACGGAGTGGCAAAATGGATCCAGAAACAAAAACCAACATTCTGCTGTCTACAAGAAACTCATCTGAGCAATCAGAGCAAAAACAGTCTCAAAGTAAAAGGATGGAAAACAATCCTATAAGCAAACAACTCCCTCAAAACAGCTGGGGTGGCCATACTAGTATTTGACAACATTAATTTCACGTTGAAAAAGATTAGAAGGGACAGCGGAGGCCACTTTCTCTTTATCAAGGGATGCATACAACAGGAAGAAATCACACTTTTAAATGCATATGCACCTAACGAGGGAACAGCTAAATACTTAAAACAACTGCTAACAGATTTTAAGGAGGACATTGCTAGAAACACAATCCACTGTCCTCTGTCCTCCTATTGTTCATCGATTTGCTCAAGCGGGCCCAGTAATGTCTCCATTGGGGACTTTTGTTGTTACTGTGTTTGGCATATCGAATACATCACGGGCAGCTTGCCAGGCTCTGCCGTGCAGGCAAGATACTCTCAGTAGCTCGCCCGGCTTTCCGAGTGGGGCGGAGGAATCCAACTCGGGTCAGCCATGTTGGCTGCATGCAAGGCAAACGCCCTACCGCTGTGCTATCGCTCTAGCCAAGCAACACAATAGTAGCTGGAGACTTCCACATTGCCCTATCACCTCTGGATAGATCAACAAGAACAAAACTCAGCAAGGAAACACTGGCTTTGAAAGAAGAAATAGAAGAGAAAGAACTTATAGACCTGTACAGGGCTTTACACCCCAAAAAGAAAGAATACACATTCTTCTCCAGTGTGCATGGAACATTTTCCAAAATAGACCATGTGTTAGGCCACAAAACATACCTCAGTAGAATCAGGAAGATAGAAATACTACCAACAATCTTTTCAGACCACAATGCACTGCGAATAGATATGAATCACACACAGACATGGAGAACCAAATCAAACACCTGGAAATTAAACAACTCAATGCTGAGCAATGAATGGATCAGGAAGGAAGTCAAGGTCGAAATCAAAAGATACCTAGAAACAAATGAGAATGAAGACACGAGCTACCAGAACTTATGGGATGCAGCAAAAGCCGTATTAAGGGGAAAATTTATAGCTCTGCAAGCATATCTCAAGACAGAAGAAAGGATGCACATAAACAAATTGACTTCACAGCTCAAGATCTTAGAAAAGGATCAACAGAAGGAGGCCAAAGTAGTCAGAAGGAAAGAGATCATAAAACTTAGAGCAGAAATCAACGACATGGAAACCAAAGAAATAATCCGAAAGATCAATGAAACTAAGAGTTGGTTCTTTGAGAAAATAAATAAGATAGATAAACCACTAACAACACTCACAAAGAAACAGAGAGAATGCTAATAAACCGAATCAGAAATGAGAAGGGGGATATCACAACAGAAACCAAAGAAATCCAAAAGATCATCAGAGACTACTTTGAAAGTCTTTATGCCACGAAACAAGAGAACCTAGAAGAAATGGATAAATTCCTGGATTCCTATAATCTCCTGAAGTTGAATCAAGAAGATATAGAGTACCTGAATAGACCTACTAACATCAAGGAAATTAAAACTGTAATCAAAAGTCTTCCCAAAAACAAAAGCCCAGGTCCAGATGGATTCACTAGCAAATTTTTCCAAACATGTAAAGAGACCTATTGCCAGTTCTTATCAAGCTTTTCC